GCTTTGTTAACAAGTACCATCCAAAAGCTTTCAAAACCAGTGTGTTGTTGTGAAGTTTTTCAAAGAGAGCATATAGCCATTAATGTGTATCCAACTATCAGCTTAGGCTTTTAGTTGGGATGGAGCACACGCTTCAATTTGGCGTGTGAGCATATAGCCATTACTGTGCAATCCAACTATAAGCTTAGGCTTTTAGTTGAGATGGAGCACACGCTTTAATTTGGCGTGTGAGCATATAGTCATTACTGTGCAATCCAACTATAAGCTTAAGTTTTTAGTTGAGATGGAACACATGCTTCAATTTGGTATCAGAGCCAGACCCAAGGTCATGGGTTCGAATCTCAGCGCCACTCGTAAGCGACTATGGTTTACCGGTCCACGTGTTGCTTGGAACCCACCGCACACGTAAGCTTATCATGGGTTCGAATCTCAGCGCCACTCGTAAGCGACTACGGTTTACCGGTCCACGTGTTGCTTGGAACCCACCGCGCACGTGAGCTTAAGCTTTTAGTTGAGATGGAGCACATGGGCTCCGGCTTAGTGATCAAGGAAGCTAGCTTGTTAGTGCATACCCTTTCACAAGTTGTAAAAGAAGAGTAGAGTAGGCTTCGTTAATAGCCGAACTACTATAAAAACCTCACTCTCACTCTCTCTTTACTTTCGTTTATCGATCTATCTGGCATTGCATTCATACCAATCAAACGCTAAGTTTTTCCATTACAAAATCGTGCAAGTAACATTTTAAAATCAATTCACATTTTTTTCCGCTGTGCATAAAATTTTGGAGTAGAATCTATTCACTCCCCCCCCCCCCCCCCTATAGACTCTCATTCGACCCTACCGGGACCTACAACGTCATGCCAACAAAAATTATTTTGCCAGCCACATTAGCTCAACCTGACGGCGGAGGCCATGTCATCAAAACCGGATGTAACCTGAAAAAATGGTGAATGCAAGATTTTAGGCAATTTATGTATAAAATTTGCTCTTATTTTAGACCAATGAGTACGCTAATTTAGCACTTGTGAGTAATAGATGAGCTTATTTGACCCTTTTGCTGGATTATTTTAATTTTCACTCCTGCTCAACGAAATTTCTATATTGATAAGCAGATGTCAATCTCAACTACAGAACATGAGTTCAACTCCGGTAAATTTTCACCTAGCTACTTTCATAATGTCTTTTCTTTTTAAGAAAAAGTTAATTGAGGACATTCATTATTACCTTTGTCCAACATATTATGTATTAGTGACCTAACCATACACATTCTTTTGAGGTCTCATACAAAGCAATGATTTTAGAGTGATTCGATGAGGTAGCTACTAGTGTCTGTTTAACATATTTCTATGAGATAGCAGTACCTCCATAAAGGAACACATATCCGGTCTAGGATCTAGCATTATGTGGACCGGACATATAACCAGCATATTAATATCCCACTAATGTGGTGTCTTGGTGTCTTTGAAATAGAAGCCCAAGATCCTTTGTTCCTTGTAGATATCTGAGGATATGTTTTATGTCAATCCAATGTCTTATGGTTGGAGCAACACTAAACCGAGCTAACATATTTACTGAAAATGCAATGTCATGTCTAGTGCAATTAGAAAGATAGAGAAGTGCTCCAATAGCACTTTAGGTAAGGGACTTCTAGTCATAGAATATCCTTCGTTATCCTCTTTTGGCCTGTATGGGTCCTTATCAACTTCAAGTGATCGAACCACCCACGGAGTATTAAGTAGATGAGACTTATCCATATAGAATCTCTCCAATAATTTGTTTGTGTATTTGGATTGATGTATGAAAATCTTTTCAGGGAGGTGCTCGATCTGCATGCCGAGACAGAACTTGGTTTTTCCCAAGTCTTTCATTTTAAATTCCTCCTTCAAACACAAACATGCCTTTTTGACATCCTTACATGTTTATATCCTTAAATTAGTGTGATATACATGTAAAAATTACCACCGAACACGTAGGACCATTTCGCTTTATCTACAATGTACAAACCTAATAAGAGCCAATGAAGTTAGGTCCCTAACCACAACTAAAAAATGTTGGAGTAATTGTTTGTTGAAATGAATGGTTCATATTATTTTGATTTTAGTATTTTTTTAAAAAATATTTTTTTCCTATTATACCATCTATTATATCATCTACTTTTCCTAAATACCCTTATATTTCGTCAGGGTAAACTTTAGTAATGGAATTATGTTAATTATTTATTATTCTTAACTTACTCATTGAATTTCATAAGTAAGGTCTTAGGTTCGAACCTCATCCAATCAAAACTGACATAATTGTTAAACATATACTATGAATATGTTAGAGTGTATTAAAAAAATAATATAAAATTTAATATGAACTTTGGTCAATTAATTAGAATCACGCATTGGGCATTGATTAAACAATACACCTAATTTATATTATACCTAATTTACAGTATATATTCAACACATATGAAAAACTATGGCTATTATCATTTCTAAGTGGAGGAGGATTTGGTTCTGTTTTTCAAGGTTAATTGTGCCAAGGCACTAAAATTGCAGTGAAGCACACCAGGGGACTAGATCAAATCAAGAATTCATTTCTGGTGGAAGTGCAAAAAAGAGGAAGCATGAATCACGCCAATTTCAAGGGTTTTATGTTGCAAAAAATATGCTTATTAGGATACTATCTAGTAATATACGTGAGGGTGCTTCCCTCTAAAATTGCTGTTACACCAGTTAATCCAACATTTCTGCCACATGTTATAGTTATGCATTTTTGAAGTATTTACTTTTATGAAAAAATTGATAATCTATCTTGCATTGATATATGTCAGGATAACGAATGATACTTTGATAAATTCTTAAACAATAATTTATAAATACGCATTGGGCATCAGACTATTCACGGGCATCAAACTATTCTACATTTTATTTCATTTTCCCAATGAGTTTATTTCTACAAAAGTCCATTGACTTTGGTAACATTTCCAAATTTAGTCCCAGACTCCCAGACAATCATTTTAACCATTTAGCACTCCAACCGCGGGACATAGGGGCCGATCACCATCAGCCGCCGCAATTGCCGCCGACGACAGTAAGAAGCCAGCTATTGGCAGCGGGGGGAGGAGGGAATGACGAAGAAGGAGAAACATAAAAACTGTTGGTTTGATTTTTTTTTTTTTTTTTGGTGTTTTCTGTCTTTTATATATATATATATAAAATGGGGTGGGGGTAGGGGTGAGGGGGGCAACTGCCCCATTGTCCCTCTCTGGATTTGCCCTTGTATGATACAATTTTTATATAAGCATAATTTCTAGCATATGCATTTTTTTTTTTTTACTGGCAATGGAAACTTGCAGTCACTATCCAAGGGTCTGTAGTCAGCTAAACAACGTCTTTTGACATTAGTCGGTAAAGGACCACAAGAAGGTAAACTAATCTAAGTCACCCACAGCTGATGACCGTTTTAAACCAAAAAGACTAGACCGCTCCTGCTGAGAGTCGAACTTAATTATAATAGTCTAACCTATGCTTATTCAATTTTAAACAATAGAACAAGTGAAGCTAAAAATCATTCTCAATCTAAAATATTTAAATTCTAATCATTATTAAACATAAAATTTACAATTAAATCTCTAAAATTTAACATTATCATACTAAAATTAGATCACATCAATAATTTACAACACCAATATATCATCACACAAAGAAAATTTTGATATAAATAAATTATGAAAATTTATAACATTTACCTAATTTTGATTCAAATTACCCCAGCGTATTATCATATTTTAGACACTTTTGATCATTTCGATAACCTTTTCAGTGAAACCTTATGTTAGACAAAAGTATTTTCGTTTCTTCACATTTTTTTTCCCAATGAGTTTATTTCAACGAAAGTCCATTGACTTTGGTAGCATTTCAAAATTTAGTCTCAGACAATCGTTTTTACCTTTTAGCACTCCAGACTATCATATTTTGAACGTTTTTGGTCTTTCTGATTACTTTTTTTTTTTTTTTTTTTTTCGGTGAAACCCTATTTTAGGAAATGATATTTTCCGATGACAAAGAAGAAGTTTTTTTTTTTTTTTTTTTTTTTGCTTTACAAACTATAGTAGATGATTTACAGAATCATGAAAAAAAAAATACCGGTCAGACTAAAGTCAACCGAATGGTGACATCCTAAGCTTTTCAACTGCATTGCAAAATGATTCCCCGGCACCCAGAGGTTCTCACGTACTTGGTATCGCCATTGGCTAAGGACGATTTGGGACCGGGTTGAAGGAGATAAAGACAAGAATCGGGTAAAGGAGATGATGCAATCCACGACTGAAGAGACGAAATTCGAGAGACAAACTAGCACAGAAAACTGGGAAATTTTAATTTGAAAAAAAAAAAAAAGAAAAGGTCTAAAATAGGGTTTCATCTAAAAAAAAATTATCGAAAGAACCAAAAATGTCCAATAATATGATAGTCTGGATTGTTAAATATAATGGCTAAAACAATTGTCTAGGACAAATTTGGAATTCACTCGGCCAGTGTACGTCCTTATCCATCTTGACAAATCTTGGAAATGAATATGAACTGGTTCCCTTCGGAAATAGATTAATTATACTCTGTATTAGTTAAGGTTGGTGTTTTCCTTGATCCATTAAAATGATTCTTATTTTATTTCGTGGACCAAATTAAAGCCTAATTATTACCTGTTCTTTTGGCTATATTAATTACTAATACTAAACTTGGAATAATAGATGAGATAACGAAGATTAAATCAAACTATATATTTGACTTGGCTAACTTGTAGTTGTTGAAATGAAACTTTGATAATTATAAAATAAAAATAAAAAATCATATAGTACTTGAGGAATTGAAGCAGTCCTAGCTAGTCTTCATATATTATTGTGCACGCAACAATGTGTCATACTGCTTCAAACCCCAATAAATTAAACATTGCATATCTATAAATACCCACCACCCCTCCCTCTTTCTCTAATCCATTCTAACATCGTCTCTTAGCTTAACTGCATTTATATTCTCAGTTTAAAATGGCTCTTAGATTACTTATCATTGCCGCTGCGGTTTTGGCATTGGCATCTTCATTTGCAGAAGCATCAGATCCTAGTTCTTTGCAGGATTTTTGTGTTGCTGTTAAAGACTCCAAGGCTGCTGGTATGTACCCTATCATATCAATCAAAAATCTTGTCTACATTATATTATTTAACTTAATTTTCAGTCAACAATTAATGTTTGTGACTTTTGTTTCAATTCTCTTGCGACTATATATGCAGTGTTTGTTAACGGAAAGATTTGCAAGAACCCAATGGAAGTTGATGCTGATGATTTCCTCTTCCAAGGTCTTAACAAGCCTGGAAACACATCAAATCCACTTGGATCAGCCGTCTCAGCTGTGAATGTCAATAATCTAGCAGGACTTAACACACTCGGCATTTCATTAGCTCGTATTGATTTTGAGCCCTACGGCCTCAACCCTCCCCACACGCACCCTCGTGCAACTGAAGTCTTACAGTCTTGGAAGGCACCCTCTACGTTGGGTTCGTCCTTTCTAATCCGGCGCCAGGAATGAAGAACAAGCTCTTTACCAAGACATTATATCCGGAGATGTTTTCGTATTCCCAGAAGGTCTCATTCATTTCCAATTCAACATTGGACATTCAAAAAGCCATAGCTTTTGCTGGCCTAAGCAGTCAAAATCCAGGAGTCATTACTATTGCCAACGCTGTTTTCGGATCAGATCCACCAATCAGTCCAAATGTTTTGACTAAAGCATTCCAAGTGGACAAGAATGTGATTAACTACCTCCAATCACAATTCTGGTACAACAACAACTAATGATCCAAACTTAGGATGGATTTTCCTTAGCTTCATAATTGGATTCGTAATACATATTCATATTAATACTTTTTGTAGTATTAATTTTATAAACCGCCTATTTCTGGCGTTCTTATGTTAGAATCATTGATACTTAAACACATATATTGTATCTTTTTATATTTACTTGGAATGGATTTTAATGGAATAAACTGATTGAGTTATTGATTAGAATACATGTATGGATTGTTTGGCTGAATATTGTCAAATTGGCTCATCTACTACTCACAAATGCTTAATTAACTTTTTGGTCTAAAATAAGAATTAATTTGATGCATAAACTTCCTATTATTCTTTTATTTACCATTTTTTCCAGGTTTTATCAGATTGCCAATTCATATTAAACTCATATGGAAATTTAATTAAAAAAAAGTTGTTGACATGAATTTTTTTTTTTTTTTTTTGAATACTATTGACTTGGTTACAATGTAGTATCTGTTCATAACTATTTTTTCAAACCCACAACCTCCCATATAAAGGAGGACAAATTTTTGTGTGGACCATAGTCCACACAGTGTTATGTGGACCATAACAAAAGGTACATTTTTAATATACTAAATGTATATTATTTTTGTACTGTATGCACATTATACAATATAATGTATAGTACACTCAGTACAAAAATAATGCACATCCCTGAATACAATGTACATTATTTTTGTACTGAATGTACTTTATTTTTGTACTGAATGTACATTATTTTACTGTGTACAAAATATGGTCCATGGTCCACACAATAACAATTGTTTAGCAACTCGGTGCCATTGGACCACAAGGTCCATGACTTGTTGACATGAAATTTATTAAGGCTATAAATTAAAATAAAGAAAACTCGACCTATTAGTATGTTCTTCATCTTTAACTTCTCTCTTAAACTTTGTCTTCTTAAAATCATCTTGGACTTCTTTCTTCAGCTTCGTCTTCTCAAACCCATCTTCGACTTTTCGGTCGTTTGAAGGAATTCCACTGGAAGGTGGAATTATATTCACCGAAAATCCACCTTTTCGGTAGATTGAAGTAAATCCACCGTACCGAAAGGTGGAATTATATTATAATTTCACCTTCCGGTGGAATTGGAGCCACTGAAAAGTGGAAAAATCACGATTCGGTGTATGAAGCAAAATATTATTTTGCTGGACGCCGGTTAGGAACAAGTGTGTTTAGATTTTGATGATACCAAACTTACTAGGAATATAGACCCCTCTTTTTGCTCTCTTCATTTTGTATCTTTCGTGTTAGACAAAAGTAGTCACAACTCACCATGTGATTTGTGCTTAGTAGCACATTTACACGAATCAGAGTTGTATTTAGAGAATTAGGTCTACTTGAAGAGAAGAAGATCAAGAGAAGGCCCAGAGAATAACTAAGACCGAAAGATGGAAGGGTCTAACTCTCGTGTGAACAACAAATGATCAAGAAATCATTTGACTTGAAGAGAAAACGAAAGATAAGGACAATCTTTCGTTAACTATTTCCAAGACTTAAAGTCTAACACAGACTTGAATAGACAACTTCTACATGAAAACACAAAAGAATGTTTGTCTATGTCTTACAACTGGGCAATCATCCTAGACAAAAGGAGTCCAAGGAATGAATTTTTTCAAATACCAAGGAGCATTAAATGATTTTTACCTTTGTCAGTGGGAAAGGACAAAAAGACAAGCAACTTTTTGTGCCAACAGCTACACAGTACAGCCGCATTAAATGCTCCAAGCCCAGTGATCTTTACACGCTGGTTAATAGGTTTGAAATTCTCATCTCCCTCCAACGGATGGATTTCCCTCACCTATAAATACCCCTCTTCACCACTGAAGAAGGTGCTGGTTTTTCACTCAATCTTTATCTACAAAAGCTTTGTTAACAAGTACCATCCAAAAGCTTTCAAAACCAGTGTGTTGTTGTGAAGTTTTTCAAAGAGAGCATATAGCCATTAATGTGTATCCAACTATCAGCTTAGGCTTTTAGTTGGGATGGAGCACACGCTTCAATTTGGCGTGTGAGCATATAGCCATTACTGTGCAATCCAACTATAAGCTTAGGCTTTTAGTTGAGATGGAGCACACGCTTTAATTTGGCGTGTGAGCATATAGTCATTACTGTGCAATCCAACTATAAGCTTAAGTTTTTAGTTGAGATGGAACACATGCTTCAATTTGGTATCAGAGCCAGACCCAAGGTCATGGGTTCGAATCTCAGCGCCACTCGTAAGCGACTATGGTTTACCGGTCCACGTGTTGCTTGGAACCCACCGCACACGTAAGCTTATCATGGGTTCGAATCTCAGCGCCACTCGTAAGCGACTACGGTTTACCGGTCCACGTGTTGCTTGGAACCCACCGCGCACGTGAGCTTAAGCTTTTAGTTGAGATGGAGCACATGGGCTCCGGCTTAGTGATCAAGGAAGCTAGCTTGTTAGTGCATACCCTTTCACAAGTTGTAAAAGAAGAGTAGAGTAGGCTTCGTTAATAGCCGAACTACTATAAAAACCTCACTCTCACTCTCTCTTTACTTTCGTTTATCGATCTATCTGGCATTGCATTCATACCAATCAAACGCTAAGTTTTTCCATTACAAAATCGTGCAAGTAACATTTTAAAATCAATTCACATTTTTCCGCTGTGCATAAAATTTTGGAGTAGAATCTATTCACTCCCCCCCCCCCCCCCCCTATAGACTCTCATTCGACCCTACCGGGACCTACAACGTCATGCCAACAAAAAATTATTTTGCCAGCCACATTAGCTCAACCTGACGGCGGAGGCCATGTCATCAAAAACCGGATGTAACCTGAAAAAATGGTGAATGCAAGATTTTAGGCAATTTATGTATAAAATTTGCTCTTATTTTAGACCAATGAGTACGCTAATTTAGCACTTGTGAGTAATAGATGAGCTTATTTGACCCTTTTGCTGGATTATTTTAATTTTCACTCCTGCTCAAACGAAATTTCTATATTGATAAGCAGATGTCAATCTCAACTACAGAACATGAGTTCAACTCCGGTAAATTTTCACCTAGCTACTTTCATAATGTCTTTTCTTTTTAAGAAAAAGTTAATTGAGGACATTCATTATTACCTTTGTCCAACATATTATGTATTAGTGACCTAACCATACACATTCTTTTGAGGTCTCATACAAAGCAATGATTTTAGAGTGATTCGATGAGGTAGCTACTAGTGTCTGTTTAACATATTTCTATGAGATAGCAGTACCTCCATAAAGGAACACATATCCGGTCTAGGATCTAGCATTATGTGGACCGGACATATAACCAGCATATTAATATCCCACTAATGTGGTGTCTTGGTGTCTTTGAAATAGAAGCCCAAGATCCTTTGTTCCTTGTAGATATCTGAGGATATGTTTTATGTCAATCCAATGTCTTATGGTTGGAGCAACACTAAACCGAGCTAACATATTTACTGAAAATGCAATGTCATGTCTAGTGCAATTAGAAAGATAGAGAAGTGCTCCAATAGCACTTTAGGTAAGGGACTTCTAGTCATAGAATATCCTTCGTTATCCTCTTTTGGCCTGTATGGGTCCTTATCAACTTCAAGTGATCGAACCACCCACGGAGTATTAAGTAGATGAGACTTATCCATATAGAATCTCTCCAATAATTTGTTTGTGTATTTGGATTGATGTATGAAAATCTTTTCAGGGAGGTGCTCGATCTGCATGCCGAGACAGAACTTGGTTTTTCCCAAGTCTTTCATTTTAAATTCCTCCTTCAAACACAAACATGCCTTTTTGACATCCTTACATGTTTATATCCTTAAATTAGTGTGATATACATGTAAAAATTACCACCGAACACGTAGGACCATTTCGCTTTATCTACAATGTACAAACCTAATAAGAGCCAATGAAGTTAGGTCCCTAACCACAACTAAAAAATGTTGGAGTAATTGTTTGTTGAAATGAATGGTTCATATTATTTTGATTTTAGTATTTTTTTAAAAAATATTTTTTTCCTATTATACCATCTATTATATCATCTACTTTTCCTAAATACCCTTATATTTCGTCAGGGTAAACTTTAGTAATGGAATTATGTTAATTATTTATTATTCTTAACTTACTCATTGAATTTCATAAGTAAGGTCTTAGGTTCGAACCTCATCCAATCAAAACTGACATAATTGTTAAACATATACTATGAATATGTTAGAGTGTATTAAAAAAAATAATATAAAATTTAATATGAACTTTGGTCAATTAATTAGAATCACGCATTGGGCATTGATTAAACAATACACCTAATTTATATTATACCTAATTTACAGTATATATTCAACACATATGAAAAACTATGGCTATTATCATTTCTAAGTGGAGGAGGATTTGGTTCTGTTTTTCAAGGTTAATTGTGCCAAGGCACTAAAATTGCAGTGAAGCACACCAGGGGACTAGATCAAATCAAGAATTCATTTCTGGTGGAAGTGCAAAAAAGAGGAAGCATGAATCACGCCAATTTCAAGGGTTTTATGTTGCAAAAAATATGCTTATTAGGATACTATCTAGTAATATACGTGAGGGTGCTTCCCTCTAAAATTGCTGTTACACCAGTTAATCCAACATTTCTGCCACATGTTATAGTTATGCATTTTTGAAGTATTTACTTTTATGAAAAAATTGATAATCTATCTTGCATTGATATATGTCAGGATAACGAATGATACTTTGATAA